ATGTCAGATCCATGTGGTGGTGGTGGTGGTGGTGCTGGTGGTGGTGGGTTAGGTTTGCTGGTGTCTTCACTTTCTGCTGTCTTTCTAAAACACTTTCTATGAAGAGGATGTCATTTGTGGATGAACTGCTGCTTCACTTCGGGGTCCAGGACATCAGTCAGGATTCACAATGGTTTTGAGACATGTCCACCAAATTTACAACATGACATTCATTCGTTCATAAATAATGAAAACCCATCTTAGTTTAGGATTGTTTCTTTAAATTAAACACTAATCCCTGGTTATATGCAGGAGGAGGAAACAGCCATTATTTTATTACTTTTGACATTTCGCCTAAGATAATGACAGAAGACACCACACACAGACATTTCCACTGGGACCACATTGTTAAAGGGTCCAGCAGAAACCAGAACTGTGAAAAGCTGTAACGAAAGTTACACAGGTAAGTTTTGAGAGACAAAACAAAACTACACCGTTTACCATAAGGCCAGAGGTAAAGAGTACTGGAAGATTGTTCTCAGGTAAAAGCCCTTATACTTTATAGTACTGTTTACTCCGGTAGAAGTAAAAACTACTTGTTAAAATTGTCCTCAGATCCTGCTGAAGGATCACTGCCACACTTATTCTTGGCTCTGTCCAGGACCAGGTCATTTCTGTTTTTACATATTTAATTGGCTTTTTAAATAAAACAACGGACTAAGATTATATAATAATATAATATTAGTTTGTTCTGACAGGACGGGGCCGCTCCCTCCCATGAGACCAGCTCTTACAGCAGCCAGAGCTACAGCTAATAATTAATATTAATAAACTGGAAGTCTCTGTCGTCCCCATGTTTAAACAGGAGGCTGAATGAGATGTTTTCTGTTGCTGAGATGGAACAGATTCATTATATCAAACAGAATTTACATAATGTTTTTCGAAGGCGTGGAAGCCATTTTTGACCCTGCTATGTTTTTTGATTCTCCTGATGGACGGGACAGTCTCGTATCTCACCTCTTTGACATTTGTTGATACTTTGCTGTTGGGATCTCTGGATATGAATCCCTTGTCTTTTATGCTGTTTGTGTAATTGTACTTGGGTGATTTATGTCTATTGTGTTTCTAACTGTGTGTGTTTTTCTAATGTAAAAAATCCTAAATAAAATCATTTTAAAAAACTGGATCAGGTAAAATGTTCTCTGCTGTAAACTTATTACTGCATTACAGTTTTGAAATGAGAAAGGGGTAAAACAAGTTATATGGTGATAATGATAATATACGATAAAACTATTAGATTTAAAAACATCTTCAGACAACCAGGTGTATATGTAGGTGTATATACATTAGTATTTCAGTGCATATACATCGTTCACAGGTGAGACCAGCACCAAAAGCAACTAATTAACCCCAGTCAGGCTGTTTGCAGCCTGAGCATTCAACTGATAATTACTAACATACACTCAGTTGCCAGTTTATTAGGAACATGCAGCTAAAACTGATGTAGTCTAATGCAACAGTCCTGCAGTAAATCCTCCTTCATGAAGGTTATAATGTTCAGTTTGTATTAAAATAGTTTTAAGACAGTTGTTGATTCAACTGTGAGATCATTGTGGAGGATGTAGTGTTTGGAGCTGTGTGACATTATACAGGTGTTCATGTTATTTAGCTTACCTACTATAAATGGGACAAAATAATAGAAACACCTGGACACCTCAGCAGGTGTCCATAGACATCAAGTCAAACAGCTGCTCTTTCTTACAGAATTAACAGCAGGTTAACTGAGGTGTATAAACAACATAAACTCCAGTGGCTCCACATTTTCTCTCTCATGTTAACACTGGCAGTGTGAACTGTATGTTTCTGCATCTGTATTTTTATATTTAAGTGTGTATAACTTTACCTACGCTGATATTTTACCAAAAATAAACAATAAAAATAACTATAGAAGCAAATTAACAGTGTTTTATCAAATTAACGTTAGTGATGGAAGAAACAAAAGACAAATATTCAAATACACTGCTCTGTGAACCGTTAATGTCAACAGCAAATGACCTCAATAAGTCACAATCTGGACCACAAGAATGAGTCAGCGACTTATGATGACGTCTTACTACAGAAGCAGCTTTCATTAAAGCTGCACTAATCAAATATCTTTATCTGAGCCAATGGGTCGGATGAGTATGTGTAATGTTAAAGCTCCATAAAATTTTCCTTCTCCTGTGTTTTTATTTGAAGTGTTGATCCAGAAGAATTTATATTTTGTGGTTTTCAAAAACCATCCAACGGCCTGGTTTTAAGGCTCAGTTTCTGAATACAGGCTGTGTGCATTTCTCTGTGGACTGAGGCTTTGATACTTTCACAGTATTAATATAGAACCTAGACCTGATCTATAATCAAACAACACATGGACATCTGCCTTTACACAATATGGGACCTTTAAATGATAATATGTCAGCGTTGTATTTACTTTCTCTCGCCCCTTGTGGCAAAAAAGCAAACCGATGCTGCTTTAAGGTTCTCCTGGCTGGATGAAACCACAGCCACTGTGGAAATATAAAAAAACCAGAGCAGAGATGCTGAATGTGTCTGAGCAGCTCTGTTTCCTGTCATGTGGCTCTGACAGACAGTCACAGCTGTGATGGACCAAAATATCGCAGGAGGAACCAACCCAAACAAGGGGACGACACCCACAGACCACCTCTACCTCTGCTGCCTCCCCCTGCTCTCCCCCAGCCCCTCTCATCTCCCCCTGCTCTCCCCCCGTCCCACTCTGGGGAGGTGGTATAACCCCTAGAGGGGGTGAATTTATTTTTGGCTAAGGAGAGAGGGGGCAAGTGCTCCTGAATGTTGGTGAGAATCTCCTAACAACTCTCCCTGCAGCATTACCCCTCAGCCCGTCCCACCCTCAGCTGCTTTCTCCTTCCTCTGTGTTTTGTTTGGGCAGTACAATGACTGTGGGGAACATGGAGACTGCTGCACTCTTTGATGCAGGGAAGAAAGGTCGAGGCCTGAGGGCGTCCAGAGAGCTCAGAGCTGGGGA